AGAAAAAAAGAAAGTGAATCCTCCAGAGACAGGGAACCAGAAGAAATATATCAGGGAAGATCAACTTGAACAATTGTAGAAGAAAATGCAAAAGATGGAAGAACGAATTGAAACTATAGATGAAGACTTAAAGAACTTAGATCATCACAAGACAGAGAGGGCACAACCAACATAGTACTGGAAATAGCAGAAATATATGAAAATGCAATCAATAATATTAAAACCAAAATGGCAGAAATGTTCAACATGCTGAAGGAACAAAAAGTAGAACAGAAGAGATGAAACAGAGAGTTGGTGAGCTGGAAGACAGGAGTGTCAGTAGAAACATAATAGAAGAAAAATCAGAGATGAGACAAAAAGATACGAAGAAAATATTACAATCATGTGGGATGACATCAAAAGGAATAACATATGTATGATTTGAATGTCCAGAACATGAGAGGGACAGACAAATCACTGAGAAAATTATGGAAGAGGTGCTAGAAGAAAATTTCTTCGGTATGATGAAGAATGGAGAAATTCACATCCAGGCAGCTCAGTGAACACCAAATAGCCTAGATCAAAATAGGAAAAAACATCAAGACGTATCATGGTCAAATTCTCTAGATTAAAAGAGACATGGATGGGCACAAGTGAATTAAGATATTGTAGTAATCTAACCCAGGTGAGGGATGAGTGTACCAGAGTAATATAAGTGGATTCTGGATCTATGTATTTAGAAAGTAGACCAAATAGGATTTGCTGTTATTAAATGTACAGGGTGAAAAAAAGAAAATAAACCCAGAATTATTCAAGCTTTTGTCTTCAGAATGATGAATATGATTATGTATTTGATGAAATCTGGTATAGTGGTAAGAAGCTGCACTACAATCTCAGTGACACAGTTTTAGTCCACCAGTTGCTCCATAGAAGAAAGATGGTCAGTCTTCTCCTGTGCAATTTACTGACTCTGGAAACCTACTGAAGGGTCGGCTTTGTATTGGTTCTGACTCAATGGTACTCAACAAAATCATTGGAAAGATTTTTATGACATTTCAAGAAAATATTTTAGTAGTTAGAATTCCAGCTGACAATTATTTAAAAATATCTCTGAGTGAAGGAGCCCCAGGAGCACAATGAAGGTCAGCTTCTAACTGAAAGTTTGACAGTTTGACCCCATACAAACAGGGTTCAAACTGTAGCAGCGGCTTTTCTCTTGTAAAGATTACAGCCTAGGACATCCCATGGACTACTTCTGTGTTGTCAAATGGAATTGGTAATGAGTCAAAATTGACAATATTTTATAATGGTACTAAATCAAGCACTGTTGTTTTTGTATACCATTGATTGGGAACAGACTCATAGCTGACCTTCCAACAGGTTTTCAGAGGCAGTTAATCACACAAGAGGAGACTGCCAGCCCTTCTCCTGTGGAGCAGCTGGTGGAAGTGTGTGCCTCTGGGATTACAACACAGTTTCTTACCACTAAGCCACCAGAGCTCCCTAATAAAGCAGTATACATAGTTTTTCTATAAGTTAGGTTTTGTTATTAATCTCTGCCTTATATAGGATCTCTAAACAGAAAAATAAGACATGTACATACAAATACATAGAAAGGTATTTACTTCAAGGAAATGGCTCATGTAATTGTGATGGCTGACAAACCCTAAATCTATGTTACCTCATAATATTTTAGGGACTAATGAATCAAAATTCTGCATGTCAGTTGGCAGGCTGTAGATATTTTCATGTTTATATCCTGAATCCACAGTCCAATGGTAAGAAGAGTGCAGAGTCGAGAGAGACACAATACTCTACCAGAACATCCAATTATATTCTGGAGAAAGACCACATCCCCAACGAAACTGCCAACTGTATGGTTGACTACATTATGGAAAGTGATTAAATTACATGACACAAAGATGGAATCCATTTAATGGGGGAAATGTCACTTTAAAAAAATGTTGGCAAAACTGGTTATCTGTTTGCATAAAACTGAAACCTGGTCCATACAGCATATACAGAAACATAATGTGAAATGGATCAGGACCTAATCATAATACCTAAAGCAAAAACTACCAGAGTAATATCTATCTGTGCTTCATTGACTGTGTAATGGCATTTGACTGTGTAGCTCACAACAAATTGTGGCTAACCTTTAGGAGAATAGGATTCCCAGAACACTTGTTTATGCTCATGCAAAACCTATCTGTAACCCAAGAAGCAGTCCTCAGAACAAAGCAAGGCAACACTGCATGATTCAAAATGAGTAAAGGAATGCATCAGGGATGCGTCTTGTTGCCATACCTTTTCAATCTATATGAAAAGATCATTTGGGAGGCTGGACCCTATCGAGGAGGAATGTGGCCTTAGGATTGGAGGAAGACTCACCAACAACCCACTTTTTGCAGATGACACAACCTTGCTTGCTGAGAAGGACCTGAAGCACTTGCTGTAGAAGGTCAAAGACTACAGTCTTGAATATGAATTGAAGATCAACATCAGGAAGACAAAAATTCTCACCATTGGACCAATTGGCAGCACCATGATAGTTGGAGAATAGATTGACATTTTTAACAATTACAGCTTTCTCAGGTACACAGTAAGCACTCTTGGCAGCAGCAGTCAGGATATCAATAAAATGAATTGTACTGGGAAAATATGCTGTCAGGGACCTGTCTAGAATACTGAGAAGCAACAGTGCCATTCTAGAGACCAAGGTGTGCCTGATCCAGGCCATGGTCTTAACAATTACTTGCTGTACAGCAGAGAGCTGACAATGACTAAGGATGACAGAAGAATGGTGCTAGAGAAGAGTCATGAACATACCATGGACCACCAAAAAAACAAATAGGTTTGTCTTGGAGAGGGTGAAACCAAGTTTCTCCACGGGGGCTAGGATTTTGAAGCTCCTTCTCACATACTTCGGGCATGTGACTAGAAGGGACCGGTCCTTGGAGAAGAACAGCATGTTTGGAAGGGTGGAGGGACAATGCAAAAGAGGAAGATCCAGAACGAGATTGATTGATAGAGTAAGAGGGGCAATGGGAGTAGTTGTGTCAGAGTCAGTGAGATTGGCTCAGGATATGTTTCAGAGGGTTGCCATGAGACTCAGGTGAATTGACAGAACATAACCACAGCAACAACATAAAGGTGGGAAAATGGACCAATTTAGGAACCCTATTCTTTTTCAAGGTAAAAAGCAAAGACAGATTTATTCAAACAGATAACATCTTAGAGAAGGATTGCACCATCCTCCAAGGAAAGGAAATAATGGAGGAAGCCTGGAGCCTATTCTTTTGACCACCAGAAATCTCTGGAAAAAACTAAACAGTAGAGGATAAACTATAAAACTGTTGTTGTTGTCATGTGCTATTGACTCTCTTGCAACTCCTAATGACCCTATGTACAACAACCCTATACCCTGCTCTATCCTGTGCCAATCTTATTGTCTCTGACACACTTACCCTAGTACCCCAGTCATTGAATCAATCCATCTCAAGGGTTTTCATTTCTTTCTCTGTCCCTCCACTTTCTCAAGCATGATGTCTCTCTCCAAGGACTTTTCCCTCCTTGCAACATGTCCAAAGTAGGTCAGACAAAGCTTCAGAATCCTTGCCTTCAAGGAGCAGCCTGGTTTCACCCTGTCCAGGATGAACTTGTTTGTTCTAGCTGTCCAAGTTGTATTCAATACTTTTCTCCAGCATCACAACTCAAAAGCATCAATTCTCCTTCTATCACCCCTACTTATTATTCAACTTTCTGATTCATAGCAAGTAATTGTAAAGACTATGGCCTGAATCAGGTGCACCTTAGTTTCCAGACTGACATTGTTGTTCTTTAGTATTTTGTAGAGATCTCTGACAGCAGTCTTTCCTAATGCAATTTGTCTTTTAATTTCCTGGCTGCTGGTACCAAGAATGTGGATTGTGGACCCAAGCAATCTTCATTGTCTATTATGATGCTGCCAATCAGCCCATTGGTGAGAATCTCTGTTTTTTTAATGTTGAGCTTCAATACATATTGAAGGCTGCCATCCTTAACCTTCTGCAGCAAGCGCTTCATGTCATCCTCAGTTTCAGCAGACAGGGTTGTGTCTTTGCATAATGTAAACTAGAAAATTAAGATCTCCTAAACACTAAATCCTCTGTGTATCAAAAAATTTCCCCAAAAGAGAACTTATGGGCTGGGAAAAATTATTTGGCAATGACATATCCAACAAGGACTCATCTCTTAAATTTACAGAAAACTCAGTGCCCCAACAAGAAGAAAGTACAATTACAAAATCGGCTGAAGCTATGAATAGACATTTCACCAAAGAAGACATCAGATGATCAGCAAACATATGAAGAAATGGTCAAGATTATTAATCATTGTTGTTGCTAGGTGTATTGAGTCAAATACAACTCATAGCTATCCTATGAACAGTAGATTTGAGCCATGTTCTATACTATGCCATCTTTATAATCTCTAACGTACTTGGGGCTTTTCTGCAATCATTGTGTTTATCCATCTTATTAAGGGTCGTCTTCTCTTTTGCCTGTTCTCCACCTTTCCAAGAATGATACCCTTCTCCAAGGAATAACCTCTCTTAAAAATATACAACATAAGTAGTTAAATGAAATTTAGAACACTTAGAGATAGAAATCAAATTGCTTATCACTGTAAATAAGAAGTATTACTCTGGAAAAGATAAGTTGGAAGTTTGGTTTTGTTATACTCTAATCTCTTCTGAAATATCTAACTTATGCTTACATATCTTTTATTGTACCTAACTTTCAGGTTGACTGTTGAATAACCTTTGTTTTCCTATAGGGATTTGACAAATTCTGAGACTATAGAATGTAACTGAATACTAGAATAATTTCTGTTAACTGTCTTGATTAAGATGACAAATGTCATATGTTAAAGCCTCATCATTAAATATTGTCAAAGTCATTATTAAGTCAACTTAACTTTCAAGTGAAAAGTAACTAGTTTTTAAAATTCTGAAACATTTGACTCCTAAATGTTATTCTAAGCGGCAAAATTTAGAAGTATTTTCAAAGAGTTCCCGTATTTCAACTATATACAAACCAAGGCATTTGATGATGTAAGTATTTTATTGTAATTATTGAATTAACCTGCCTCTTCTCAGTAGAATGTGCTCTTAATTAGAGACTAGACTGCATTCATCTTCATATCCCTCATGTCCTTTTGAAAAAAATCCCCAAAACACACACAAAACATGATAGTAAATTATTATTCTTATTTATATAGATATATAA